TATATATATATATATATATATATATATATATTTTATGTTGAAAGTTTAAAAAATATTTGTAGTTAAAGACTGAAACAATGAGAATGTCTAGGATTAGAGGTCCGGGTATTGGTACCTTTACCCTAACGATAAGATCAGACGAATAAACTGCAATTACATTCGAGCGTTGCGTACCCTCTCACCTGTTTCTTCCACCTATAGGAGGGAATTTTTTGAGAAAAGATAAACGTACAACTGTCGAGCCAATCGACATTCGACACGCGAATTCTGTCGCGTCGAGAGATACGGTGAGAGATTCCGTACATACACGATCGCGAGAGGCAAAATCGAAGAAGAAACCACGTAGAATATCCTTGAATCTAGTCCTATTAACATTAGTGGAGCTATAGTTTAGTAGTAATCTCGCGTAAACGTTGCTGCATATTTCGTACTATATTTTTTGTGAACGCCCGTTTCCACGCGTGCCAATCTATCGTGCAAAGAATGTGTCTTCAACTGGGCCTTGTTAATGTAGTAATCGTCGCGTGATGAGGCCCGATAGTAGATGGTAGAGAGATCTTTTTGATGCGTGTGTTCACCACGTTACCCCGTACCCGAAATGACAACGTTTCCTCGAAGGATTTCTCGCGCGGTATCGCACATTCGTTGAGCAAAATTGATCTCTCGAGCTAACATTAGGTACGAGTTTTCGTGGCTGCAACTAACGCATTTGTGCAATGTCCTGCCAATGCAATTGATATTAAGTACTATATTATACAGACACACACAACAATATTCAAGAGATATTTAACACTAGCGTTAACGTCGAATGAGAATGAGAATCATAAATATCTCACACACGTTCGACTCTAAGTAATATATATTAATAGTAATATATATTAATAATTAATATATATGCATAGAATGTAAAGCGTCGGTTGTCCTCGCACCGGAATTTTCGTCGTCTCGAAATGAAGCGACGGGAGTTCTCATTGGGGCGCGAACGATCTCGGCGGCGAAACTTTCGCCCAAGTCCGCCGACGTTCGCACGACGATTAATAGTCCAATTAAATCGCAGTGTTTAGTGAGCTAGGTCATTAGCGTCGCTTTCGTCAGTCGCTGAGAGTATATTCGCGGACGTAGTTCGCGTTACGGGAAGGAGTGGAGGAAAGAGAGAGAAGCAGTATTTTTCTACGGTAGCTCCTACGAACGCGCATATGATTAGACTTTGAAAAGTGATGTTCACGAGAGGGACGCACCTTCGCGGTCCCCTTAATACGGTCACGACACGTACTTACTTATGTATCTGCGCCAGCGTCCATCGTTCGCGACAACTTTCGCGCGTGTCGCGACGCTCATCGTGATTGCTTAGGCTAATGTGTTCCAGAGTATCGATCATGTGCCCTTCCCTGATCGCGTGAACTCGTGAAAAGTGAACAGTTTCACGTAAGAATTTTCACATTTCTATTGTTCTAGAGCTTACGTGATGGCGCTAAAGTCGTCGAGGTCACGTGAAATTTTTCACCTTTCACGTTTCTCTTAGGAAAAAATTACATGATCATTGTTACTAGGAAACACAACTATATACATCGATTCGTGCGACTCGTCGTTAGTGTTGGAACGATAAACGAACACTGAGAGATCTGTCTATCGTTTTTATCTATCGTCTTTATGAAATTGCTGCAGAATCGTCAGACACGCGCGGAATTTTGTGATTCACTTGAGCACACTGAAGGAAAAAATCTAAAAAATAATAAATACACACACTTCTTTGGCTAATAACATATTTACTTAAATTTAAATTCTTTTCTTTAGATAGAATAAACAATTGCTTTCGTGAAAAGCTAAAGTTTCCTCAAGGTTTTAAGAGAATATAAAATATTTTATTTTTGAAAAATGTTTTTTTATGTTGGTACAAGTAAACATGTCATTGTTATATCCACCGAATAAATAATTATTATTTCTTCAATACTTTTTAAGTTAATTAAGTTTGAAATTTTTAACAAAAACGCAACAACAAATTTTTTACGAATTTTTCTCTGCATTTTCTATTTGTTGCGTTTCCACGTTTCCTTCACTGTTATACACATCAGATGTCGTAATGAATATTAAGATGAATAAAAAGCGACAGATCCGCTACAGTATCGGTCGTTCCGACGACTACTGACGCAATTAGTTCACAAATTCGCCTGAGATCAAACGGGATAAGTGAGTGACGCGAATGAATGTTTCCTTTGGTAAATTGGATAGCGATTGCAAAGGTCCGTGAGTGCGATAATTGTTAATTCTATCGTTCAAGGATGATCATATACCCCGATTGGGCTTTGGCGCTTTGCGCGGACATCAGGAATCTACTGGCCACGTTAATTAACATTAAAGTGAACCAGAAAAAAAATATATATGTGCGAGAATGAGGCAGTTTAAAAATTTCTATTGCGAGCATGTTAAGAGAGTGCCATGCGTGTGATTCGATGCGCGTCCGAATTTTTGTCACGCAACACGCGCATATGTTTGCGTATGTGTATGTACATATAAGGAGTAGGTAGGCTAATATACATGAAATATGTAACATACCATCCGTATTATATAATAAAGGGTAACACTTTGCGATATATATATGTAATTGTTTTTTGCACGTGGAATAATTTCCTGCCTAACGTATCGAATAGGTAGTACGTAAAATACTGTTTGGTTTGTACAAAAGGTGATATTATCGGATCCTTATTATCAATAAGATCCTGATTAACATGACGCGTTATATGATTTATCAGGACTCGATAAAAAATCTTTTAAATTGATAAATCACTTTTTACCAGATAACTAATAATTAGGTCAGTCTGATCAGGACCATGGGACAAATTTTCATATTCGTCTAAGGATGACCTGATGAAGGAAGCTCGTGTTTTACACGAGATACAAGTGCAGAGAGAGAGAGAGAAAGAGTCATAAATATGATATTGATTCGAAAGGGTTAAAGTGTAAATCAGATAAGCCAAGTGAACAGTGAAGAAAGAAAAATCGTATTTAGGTGAGTAATTCAAGAAATCGAAGGTCGCTGAATAAAATTCGACGTTCCGCTCTGTAACCCGCAAGTATACTCCTTATTTTTTACTATTGCTAAGGAGGGTATACGGACACAAATTGCCAGCTATATTTTTTGCTCTCTCTTTCTCCTTTCCTCTTTTCCTATCTGGACGTTCCACGACGATCGAGAACGAATCGTAGTCGGAAGAGGGATGCCTGTCGTCGGCTCGAAAGAGGCGTCGACGAAGTTCCCTCTGTGAAAAACGGCATCTCGCGTCCAGCCAAAAATGTGACACCCTCACACGCACGTCGGGGGTGCGCGGACAACCGCGCGCCGTAGAGAGAGAGAGAGAGAGAGAGAGAGAGAGAGAGAGAGAGAGAGAGAGAGAGAGAGAGA